GCTAAACTCTTTATATATGCTCCACAAGCTAATATCTGCTAACCAGTTCAATAAATAACAGTGATTACATGGACTTTATAAGACTATTTTAATTTTAAACTGTTACATTATGTTCTGCTCAGATCACATTGAGCTAAATAAGATCAAATCTACTGACTTGTGTTGTGAAATGAGATGTTTCCCTGTTTATCTTCTGTTAATAAATCCATACACAAACAGCTTTTCTGACATTATTTAAAACATTAGATGGATTATATAAACTGTAAAATATTAATAATAATTGGGTTAATATTATTATTAATAGTTTTAATGATTTCTACATGGCCAGTCCTTTTTTCTGCTCTGTTGTCAACATGTACAGTATTGGAAAATCTAGACTCGTGACCGTTTAGCGTTAGCCGTTAGCTTCTCCAGCCGATCACACGGTCACCTGGTTTCTGAGCTCCAGCTGTTTTATAGAACCTCCTGGTTTCAGCTTAAGTAAAAAAAATCTCTGTTGCACAGGATGTTCAGGTTTTATCCCGAACTTACCGCTTATTCACAAAGAAAATACAACTTTCTGAACAATTCATTTGATTTTAGGACTTTATTTGGTCTCTTATAAAATAGTTTTCTGTGTAGTTTGACATTTTACAGCTGAACGTTTCTCTTGTTGTGCCGTCTGTGATAATATAGCATGTAGTTTTAAAATTATTTTTATCTTTTAATTGTATTTATTTAAAGCAGAGACTATTCTTCTTGGTGTCCACACCAACCAAACATTAGAAAATAACATAATCTAAACTTAAAAGACACGAGTGCAAATTCTGAGCACACAGTACCAAAACAACACAACTTCTCAACATAACTCTCCGTTTAAAGCCTAACATTTCATCACTTATTTATTTTAAAGACATAGAGTTCCTGGTGGGATACTTGGCTGATTTTCACATCACAGGTTCAAATTAAAATGTGGTGAGTGCAGATGGACTTGTAGCTTTATTTAAACCTTGAAAATAAAATGATTGAAAATAAGGTTACGTGAAACCTCATGCAATTCTGCCACATCTAACATTATCTGTTACTGTTCAGAGTACATGCTGTAGATTACTGTCAGCCACTATTACACCAAACTTTAGCTCAGATTTTTGTTGGATTACGTTAATTAATCATGGCAGCCATCTTAACATAGACTGACTTCATTGTTAACGTATATCTAATGATTACTAATGAGAATTTCATTAAAATGTATCCAGTGGTTTATGAGTTATTTTGTAAACAAACTAACAAAGTTGACTTCAACAGTTAATGCTGAGGTGTTAAGAAAAGATGTCACACAATATGTTGCCATCAAATTATGTGTTTGGAATAATAATCTCTATCATAGCTAATGTTAGCTTAATATCTGTGAAATGTTTAGAATCATAAACTATGAGTGTCTATTAAAAACTGGACAAATTCAAGTCAAGTGTTTTATGTGAACAAAAGTTTCTACTCAGCATTTTATTATTTTAAAGGGGAGGGGGGTTAATATGCAAAATCGACTGTTTTTTTTTAAAGTTTTATATCATGTTATAATGTCATTCCCTTATCAAAAACATACTCAGAGTGTTGCTTTGACTCCTTCATGCATGTTTGAGAAATCCTTTAATCTCCTGTGGACATGTGGCACTGCCTAAACGTTTGCTGCTACAAAGCTCCGCCTATTTGTACAAAGCTCCTCCCTGGAGCTCAGTTAGCAGTCGAGTTCCCGCCCCACAGAGCACCCCTCCCCTGAAGCACTGTTGTGAAAGTGGGATGATCTGAAAAGGTAGGAGGTTCTTAAAGAGACAGAGTCTCATTTCAAGGTGTTTAGATAAACTATGATGAAAAGTCTCATTTATTTTGGCATCTGCAGTATTTTCCTAACAACTGAGGTTTACATGGTTACTTGACTGTGGTATAGAATACTCCTTTGGCACATTACAAAGCACGCGTGAGACAAACGTTTTGATTGGATTGTGAAATGTCACCACAGTTATTGTTCTTGCTAAAATCGTAAGTGAGGGGAATGTAATTCGAAAGTGTGAGGTGATGATGGCGAGTTGTAGGGCTGGGCAGTATGACCTCAAATTCATATCACAGTATAAATTGAACCCCTTCATGGTAACGGTATATATCGTGGTAGAAAATTATCATAAAAAGTTAAGATAATGTAGTTTTTAGAGCATTTTTTTTTTTTGCAGAAAACTGTAATCTTAGGGTGTATTCAGACCAGGAAAGTCCTTTGGTCCAATTGTTTGGTCCGGACCAAAAATGGACTTTTTTTTTCCTTTGGTGCGGTTTGCATTCACATTGTGCTTTTTTGCAAATGAACTATAACTTGTAAACAAAGCCATCAGGTTGACGATCATTGCTCCCATTGGACAAAAAATGGACGGGGGCGGGGCTGAGCCACAGATCCAGAAGAAAACAAGGAAGTCCTGCATGCTGCGGTTCTGATGTGCACATTTTTGCTGATAGTACAACTGCAATAGCATTTAAAATGTCAGAAGCAGCTAATTTAATGGTGGTTCTGTGATGATATTCTAATTTTGGAGCGGCGTCAGTAAATGTGTCCCGCAACCCAAAGGAGACGAGGTGTGCTGCGTGTTCTGACCCACAACATGCCGGCAGCAGAGCTGCTAACAGGAGACGACGAAACAGGTTTGATTTCAGTTTATTTAGCTCAGCAACGGTTGCCTGTGAAGTCCAAAAAAGGTGCATGTTTAATGCAGTTGGTTCGGTTAGAGTCCGGTCTGTTTTCACACCAGAAGAGAACTAACGTGAACCGCAACAGAGTTCGTTTGGAAGCGGACCGAGACCACCTCAAAAAGCAGGTCTCGGTCCGGTTGTTTGATCCACACAAGAGTTCACATGAGTGTATTCACACCTGCAGAAAAGGTCCGGACCAACGCTGGAAACGAACTCTGGTTCGTTTAAAGCGGACCAAATTGTCAGGTCTGAATACGACCTTAATTAAACCCAACATTTTTGCTTTGCCTGGCAAACAATGAGCTTCTGCTCTGCTGCACGCTCATCTTCATCATCTTCATCATCAGAGCAGAAGCCGACTTTACATTAGCAAGATGGATTTATGACTGAACGAATGGCCACGTCTTTTTTTAATAATCTCTGTGGGAAACAATACATAAAAATCTTTTTTTTCTCCGACAACTGGGTGTGGAAAAACTACAGTTGTTAAAGCTTCGCTCTGCGCCACGTGCAGCGGGACGGAGGGAGGAAATGATTCCGCGACATGACGTAACTTTTCTATAGCGGGAGGATGAAATTTTGAGGATTTATTCTCTCTATAAGTGCTTTAAAATGCTAGAATTTCTTCATTATATTTCTAACTCCTCCTGCTCAGTTGTCTCTGCACTCACAGCCCTGTTGACACAGGTGCGATGACGTAATGACGATAGGACGGTAGAGGGTAAATTTCTACCATAGGCCAACTTCATACTGTTTCTACTGTCTACTGCATATACCGCGCAGCCTTAATGTCGATGTGTGGTCTCAAAAAATTGTGGACAACCAATGGACAAAATCCCTGAAATGAGTGCCGTAGATCCGAGAGGATGTCACTGTGAAGCAACAGTTGGAACAAGGATGTTGAAGTCAGTGAGTGCTACCGCATTTTTGAAAGATGGCCACGTTACGATTGTTGGCGTTTGTGGCACTGATGATGACAGCGTTTGTGCTGGCTCTGTTGTCGTACATGCTAAAGTCAAAGCAAGCATGAAGCAACTTGCGCTGACTGAAAGTGGTGAAATCCCTCTGGCCTTCTGTGAATGCCCAGCAGGGTAAGTTCTTGTCTTGTTTTCATCAAACTTTTGACTCAAGAGTCAGAATCAAACATTTGTGTCAATGCCATAGAGCTTCTCACACCAAAACTTGCTGAACTTTAGACTGATTTGTTGTTTATTATTTATTAATCACACACTTTGTTTTTCGTTGGAGTGAAGTCGTGATGGTGAAGTGCAGTGAGTCACAGCTTTCTTCTTGTAGCACCTTTGCTCGACTTTCCTAGAGGAATTTGGTAAAAGGAGCGAGCTTCTCCTTTATCTTTTACTCGATCATGTTGCCTCCAACAGTTATACACACTACAAAAGTCACTTTTCCCCATTGATATCATTGGAAAGAATGTAAACACTCAACTCGTACGGGGAATGATCCCCCTTACGTCCGGTGTATGTGCGATAAACCGCGTCGCATGCGTCATGACCAAAATGTGCAAAAGGTCTATTGAAGTACCATATGTGCCTGGAAAATACATAATACCCTTCCTTTAGATTAAACTGGGAAAACAGTCTTCATATTAAAGAATAAAAAAGAGACAAAGAAGGGCAAGTAAAGAAAATGTATTTTAAAAACTTACGGCAGTCTGACTCATCAGACTTGTCCTTGCAGTCTGGATCTCCATCACATTTCCAGGTCAGGCGAATACACTCCCCATTATTGCAGCGAAACTCTCCAGCGGTGCAGTTGGCCCTGCGGTTAGGCAGGTAGGGGGCCCCGTCCCCGCCGCAGCGCTCAGGCCCCTCGTCCGAACTGTCGGAACAGTCCGGGTCTCCGTCGCAGCTCCACATGAGCGGCACGCACTCCGAGGTGTTACAACGCAGGTGGTTGGGCCCGCAGGTCAGAGGGGAGGCGCACTTGAGCTCGTCGCTGCCGTCTCCACAGTCGTCGTCGCCGTCGCACACGTAGACGGTGGCCAAGCATTTGCGATTGGCACACATGAACTCTCCGCTGGGGCAGGCTTTGGCATCTAAAGAGCCAAGAGAGAGAAAAACAAACTCAGGTGTAAGACTAAAGGACACAGGAAGGAGTTGAGAATGAGAACATTTGCTGTAACACAAAATCCTATTAGTGTTATGGAAAAGATGTCAGTCTGTTTGAGAAGGGTCAAATCATTGGCATGCATCAAACCGAGAAAACATCTAAGGAGAGTGCAGAAACTACTAAAATTGGGTTAAGAACTTTCCAACTCATTAAAAACTGGAAGAATAGTGGTGACCCATCGTCTTCATTGAAGAAATGTGGCCCGAAAATATCCTGAATGATCGGTGATCACTTAAAAGTTTGGTGAAATGAAATCGAAGAAAAACAACAGTAGAACCCTGGGCTATGTTTAATAATAAAAGTAAGAATATTTCCACAAACACAATGTGACGGGAACTCAAGAGATTGGGACTGAACGGCTGTGTAGCCTTGAGAAAATTACTAATCAGTGAGGCTAACCGGAAAAAAAGGCTTCAGTTTGCTAGGGAGCATAAAGACTGGACTCTGGAACAATTATCTGGTGAGTGCGACATGCTCTTGCTCTCAATAAATAAAAAAGCCACTTTCTTAATTCTTAATTCCGTCCGCCACTTTACAGAGACCGGCAGAGGAAAACAACAAGAGAAACTTCCTGATGCAGGTGAGGTGTGTTTAGAGCAGTTTTGACAAGTGTTTGACCTCAAAGTGCACAAATGTCCAACTTGAAATGTTGGAGGCATTTTTGATGCTGAAAACGCGTTCGGTGTGAACGCAACCAGAGGTGTCAAGTAACTAAGTACAAATACTTTGTTACTTTACTTAGGTAGAAATTTTAGTCTTCATGCAATCCTCTGTAATAGCCACTCCTTAGATTTTAAAAATGCAAAAAGTATTTCATTTCTATTTACGACCTGTTTGTATTTCAGCTTGCCATCGTTCAGACAAAGATAAATACGTACAAAATTATCCAGATACATGGAGCCCTTTGATAAGAGTGAACTGGTTGTGGTTGGATGAGAAATTTATACCATTCTGACACCTTGTTGGATTGAACGCACTCCATCACACTTGTATGACACAAATCACTTCACACACCAGCAAGACATAGCCATGTTGACTAGAATGAGGATGATCGTGGCTAAGACATAATGTGGATGAAACACATAGTTTAATCAGTGCATCCCAAATTTTTCAACATTAACATTTTAATTTAACATTATACTCATTATTGCCTGTAGAAAAAAATTAGTGGGAGGTGGTTGTGCACTGTAGATCCCTGTGGCGTGGCCTATGCTTTTGTCCTTAATGTTGTTTTTTAAAAAAAAGAACATAATTTGAACTTTTATACTTTAAGTAATTTCAAAAACAGTACTTTTGCATTTTTAATTGAGTAAAAAGCTTGAGTTGATAATTCTACTTCCAAAAAAGTATTTTAAACCCTAGTATCTATACTTCTACTTAAGTAATGAATGTGAATACGTTTGACACCTCTGAACGCAGCACTACTCGATGTGCATACTGGCCTACCTTTTCATACGGGGGATTTTTATCTGTACTGAACAGAATATTAAACAGGATATTCAACCAAAGTTTCAAAGAACAAAAACATATTAACAAGACAATAAGGCAAAACCAAAAGAAATATATCTTTAGAGCCTTATATATTTATTTTGTTAAATTTGATTTTGAAAGAAAATGTACAACTTTATACCTGGAAGCATCAGCGAGCCTTTAATAAAATGTAGAACAGGAGGAAATGTGTACTGAACATGTAAGGCTTAGGGGCTCAAGCACCAAATTAAAGCTGTTCTTTGTTAAAAAATAATGATCTGTTATATTGATGGTCCACAAACAAAATCCTGCTTTATAAATCAGTTATTACTGCCTTGCTTTGTAAAGATCTGTTTAAGCATTGGCCATTAAAGAACCCAATCTGTCAAACATCCTTTGCAGAAAGCAAATCAAACTCAGAGCAGAACCGTGGACAGAGCTCCACCTCAGGTAAGATTATACAAAATAAAACCCTGTGGCTTAAATTTGTCTTAAACAGGAAGTCCTGAAGACAGACACAGAGTTTCACTCTTTAGCTGAAGAGGATGGCAGTCATAAGACCAGAGAGACAGGAAGAAGCTTAGAAGAAGAAGATAAAAGAGCTCTGTTTGCTTTAAATCAATTCAAGTCCTTTTCACGATGGATCTCTTTTATAGAGCCTGTATGAACATCCTTCTCTGTTAAACTGTTGGAATTTATGTCTTTCAGGTACTTATATTTGTTGTCAGCATAAAAAAGACAGAGTCTATCATACCAGGTGACTTGTTGGGTCTTTGCTATTCTTTTTTATTATTATTAGGTGTGCGAGATGTTTATGTTTTAAAAATACTGGGTTTTCACCACAGACTTTATGAACAGGATGGATAAATCTATGGCTCAGTGGTACTGGCTAAATATCTGATCTAAAAGTGTATCCATATGAATAGTTTGAGAAGGATTTGATGTTGTTTGTTTTGTTTTTTATTTGTACACTGAAAAAAAGGATTTTGGGTGTAGTAACATATATTTAATTATTCTTTTAAATTTTACCAAAAAAAATCAAAATTTCTGAACTACTAGAATTTACTAAGTAAACAATACACATTATATTATATATCAATATTACTGTACAAAAAAGTAAATGCTAATATTATTTTACCAGTGATATTTAATTGTTTTTTCTGGACAGCACATAAACATGAATATATTAAGTAACTTCTACTCTTCTGGGCTAAAACTGAGGGTGCATGCACACACAAAGGCTGCTGCTCCTCATTCCCTTGCTTCACTTTTCAAGGAGAGGACAAGACATGGTGGAATTAAAACATAAGTTGTCTGGTTTCTTTTGCTTGAATACATTTGTTGGTGTGCAATAGTTTGATGACATAATGTAGGTGATATTTAGTTGTCAGGGAACAGGGAATGAATATTGTAGCATTCTGCTGTGTTTGGCTGTTTGTCATGTGACTGCAGTGGAGGATTGTGGGTAGGATTCATGTTTGTTGTTGTTAAATCGTTTTAGGGAATTGGTTAACATTGCTCTTTCAGAAATTAGTCTGTTGTGTTCCTCTAATTTGTGTGTTCATTATTTGTTAACTTGTGTTAAACCGTTCAGCAGAAGTAACCATAAGTGAGAGTGGTAGGCCTAGTCATTAATAAGACCTGTGGGTTTCACTTTGTCTGTGTTGTTCATGAAGAAGAATCCAATAAAGGTTCTTCATAACCGCCACCTGCTGGTGAAGTCCTGAACTACAACATGAGCTACACCTCTCTGTAGCTGTGAGGTGTCATGCTACAATATTGTGCTTGATGCATGTGCACTATTATAAAGAACTTGTAAGATTTACTAGAAAAAAATCTTTGTAACAATTTGCACTTACTTTTGTCAAGTAAATTTTAATGCTACAAATTCATGTAATATTTACTCATCATTTTCTAGTAAAAATTATCAAGAATATAGTTAAAGATTTGTGAATAAATCAGGTAAATTTTACTTGATTTGAGCAAGTATATGTTACAAGATTTAATTGAGCAAATTACATAAAATTTACCTCATTACAAATCTTTAACTATATTCTTAACAACTTTTACTAGATAATGATGAGAGTAAAAATTTCATGAATTTGTAGCATTTAAATTTACTTAACAAACATTAGTGCAAATCGTTTACAGGATTTTCTCAAGTAAATCTTACAAGTGATTTTGTACAGTGTAGATTAATATAGTTAGAATTTATTTTTGGGGAAAGGGGGAAGATAAGATTGTTTTTCTTCTTTCTGCTGCCTTGCCTTGATTTGTATTTTTTATTTTATATAGAATTTATTTTGTTATTTTTAAAGAAATGAATAAAGTTAATAAACTAAACTAAACAAAGTAAAAGTTGGGATGTTCAACAGTCACATAAAGAGCAAAAACTAGGATCAAATATTAAGATATAATGTTTGAAAGCTGAGAAAAATCATTGAAGAACATGAAATCTCAGTTCCAGTAAATACCAGCAAACCAAGCTGAGAGAAATGAGAAAATAATGGTTATATAAGATGTCAGAAGTGATTATGTGATGACAGTGAAACTGTTACGGCCAGAGGTCTTTCTTCTATGTTTATACTAAAGCATGGAATGACATTCCTCAAAACATAAAGTCCATTTCAAATACAGCCCTTTAAGAAGAATCTTGTCTGCCATCTGCTGGACAGTTTTTGTTGTGCTCATATTTAGACGTCTTATTTTACAAATGCTGCCTTCCTGAAATTTGGTATGCTTGTTTGTCTTTGTGTCTATGGTGTATAATGATGTGATTGTGATGCTGTATTTCTGAGTGTTTATGTGCTACAGAAGAGGAACCTGCTGTAAAACAGCAATTATGCTGAGTCAGGCTTGATTTTTAATAACCTTTTCCTGTTAAATAAATAAATCAAATCAAATCAAATCAATTTCAAAGAAGATGAAGAGTGAATGTGCCGTAGTTCCCCAGGCAGATCATTTTAAAGCCAAGGAGCAAATGCTTGGTTGCCTTTAATCTAGGAATATGATGTGGGATCAGGCAGGTGAGTTTTGATCCTCAGGTAGGTGGGGTGACAGCAGTCCTGATGTATATTCAGCCTTCTGACTGGAACAGACTTTAAATGGAATGAGTAGTCCGAAATCCTAAAAATTAAGAAGTGATTCATAGAAACACTCAGAAAAATGAATTTTTTCTTTTATTCTTTTATCAATTTTGGAGCCATGCTGATACATTTTGCACGATTCAAAATTCAATTTATTTTACACTATTCACAAATAACTGAGTATTTTAAAAAAATGCCCAGACTACTGCAATCTCTTTATGTTTCTCTGGTATTTTCTGACTCCAGCCACGTCCAGCTAAAAGCAGAGTGAGAAGTGAGGATTCCCATTGCGAGCCCACAGCTGTACAGAGGTCAGCAGCAGGAAGAGAAGATTTGAATGTTTACACAAACCACAGGGAGTTCAGCTTCC